GCTCCGGTCCCGCTCCGGCCCCGCTCCGGCCCCGCACCGGTCCCGCTCCGGTCCCGCACCGGCCCCGCTCCGGTCCCGCACCGGTCCCGCTCCGGCCCCGCTCCGGCCCCGCACCGGTCCCGCTCCGGCCCCGCTCCGGCCCCGCTCCGGTCCCGCACCGGCCCCGCTCCGGTCCCGCTCCGGCCCCGCTCCGGTCCCGCTCCGCCCGCCAGCCCCACGCCGGACGGGGCCGCGCCCGGCGGCTCCGGGGCCGTCCGATCCCCGCGCCCCGCACGGCTCACCCCGTCCGCCTGTCCGTCCGTCCGTCCGTCCGTCCGTGGCGTCCGTCCGTCCGTGGGGCCGGGGCGGGGCCGCCCCGCGGGGCCCGCGCGTGGGGCAGCGGCGCTGGGGCAGCGGCGGCCGCGCTCACGCAGGGACCGGCCCGGCCCGGCCCTCACCTGCCCCGCCTCACCTGCCCGGCCCTCCCCTCACCTGCCCGGCCCTCCCCTCACCTGCCCAGGTGCGCTGGGCGCAGCCGCGCCGCCCGCCCCGCCCCGCCCCGCTGATCCCCCCGAACCCCGCGCGGATCCGGGGCGAGCGGAGCACCCCGTACCCCCGCCCTTCTGCCGCGACCCTTTTCCTGTCAAACGGAATATTTAGGGAACTTCCAAAGTGGATATTCCGTTTCCCCGGTAAATGGAGTATCTAAGAAAGGAGGTTTGCTTTTAAGCAGGATATCTTTGCCTTTTAAATGGAATATTTTGGAAAGAAAGCCTTACGTTCCTGGGCTTTTTCGCAGTTCAAAGCATTCAGCTGACTCATAGAATCACGCCACGATTAAGGCTGGAAAAGCCCTCGAAGATCATCGAGTCCAAACATTAACCCAGCCCTGCCGTGTCCACCACCAAACCGTATCCCTTGGCACCACATCCGCAGGGTTTTGAGCACTTCCAGGGGTGCTGGCTCTGCCGTTCCCAGAGCAGCCTGTTCCAGAGCTTGTCCATCCCTCCAGTGAAGAAATTCCCCCAAATATCCAATCTAAACCTCCCCTAGCACACCTAAGTACATTTGCTCTTGTCCTACATCCATCCATCCATCTGTATAAATCCATATCCAGTCAATGGTAACACAGGATGAAGCCAAACCCTAAAGTCAGCTCCGATTAAAGTCACAGGCTCACAGTTTCTTCCCTGAAAAGCACAAAAATGTCCCTCTTCCCTGGCTCCATGCTCACTCTGGGGTCACACCTACCCCTGGGAGGGGGCTCAGCAGCTTCTCCCTGGTCCCTCCACAGGCTCCAGCCCTCCAGCCTCGCGTCTTATTTATTTTCCTCGTAGGTGGAGAGCCATGACTCAGTGGTGAATCTTGGTTTCAAGGATCATACAATACTTCACCTTTCAGTTTCAATGAACCAGAAAAAAAAAATGGGAATTTCCCTTCTCCTTCTCCCCATGAACACTGTGGAAAACACTGAACCCTGACTTTGGGAAGGCTGACTTACACCCACAGCTCAGTCCCGAGCCAAGAGGTTGGAACTAGACAAAATCTTGGAGATATTCACAGAGATGAAACAATTCACTGTTTTTCTGGGGAACTTTGGCTTGCTGGATACCAAGTGCAAATTAAATATTTCAGACTTCATCCAGCATGGACTCCCACTCAGAGGAAACATGCAGGAGTTTGTCTGCTGGTAAGAGAATCTTTGTGGCAGGAAGCAGAAGACAAGGTGTGACACTCCGAGGTCAGCGCTCTGTGCTGGCGAGATGGGTTTCCTTAGTGGTACCTGACCACTCCTGACGTGTACATCAAGGCACAGCTGCTCCTGGAGTAAACCACCCTTGTTATTCCTGCTGTATAAAGCACACAGGGCTAGGACAATTCTGGGAGAAACCAGGAAGAGACACAGGGAGGCATTGGGCTGAACTCCAGGCCAAGCTCTGAGGGATCTTTGATCTCTCCTCAGACGGGCCAGCACATCCCATCCCTGCATTCCTGCTATGCACACCTCTGCCCGCTGGGACACAGGCAATGCCAGCCTGCTCTGGGCTGCAGGGAGCTCTGGAAGGGGACAGCAGTGCTGCTGCTGCTCACACTCCTGCTGCCTGTGCTGGCAGTGCCTGGGCAGGGCTGGCAGTGCCTGGGCAGGGTTCTGCCTTCCTCAGGTGCCCAAGCCACAGGAGGGGTCCTGGGGCAGGTCAGGGCTGGGGGATTTGAAAAAAATGGAGCAATGTGGCAAAGCAGCTGGGTGAGGACTGCTCCAGCTTGGAGCTCCAGCCTGGGAGAAGGGTCCAGTCCTGCCCGCAGCATCCCTGCAGCTGGTGCCCCCTGTGCCAGCTGTGCTGCCAGCGCCCTGCTGCCTCTGCCACAGCCTCTGCTGCCTTCCCAGCACCGACACAGATGCCAAACAAATGAGTCTTCCCAGCCCTCTGCAGGGTTTGGTGGTTTTTTTTTCCCTCTTGAGTTTCTACCAGCCCTGCTGGAGCGTGTGGCAGCACGTTGGGGTAGGCAGCTGACGGGAAATAAGCTGCCTTTTTCCATGCTCTTGGCTGGGAAACTCGGCAGCTCTGGAGCTGCAGGGGTGATAATGCAGGATAAGTCATGAGGCAGGACGTGCAGTCAGATGTTACCTGGCTGGAACTGATCATCCAAAATGTTCACTCTGGCACAACACAGAGCGCTGATCCTGCTCCTTCAGGCAGGCAAGCAGCACCAGCCTCTGCGCTGCGGTGTTTTCTAGAGATTAGTCTTTTTGTTTTTACCTCTCTCTGCCGTATTTACCTCTACCTGCATTTTTTTTTTAATCAAATGGAGATCTTTTGGCTGATAAACTTATGAAGTGACATCCTGCTGGCTGAGAGACAGCAGCTCTTTCAGTGCAGTCTGCAGAGCACACAGAGGATGTGCAGAGGAATATTCATACCAGGAGCTATGGGATTTACTTTATTTCAGTGCCAAATTAATATCACTGTTTTATCAACACAATTGTATGTCATGATGCCTGCAACAGCAGCAGCTGGGCTTTGTACTCCAGGTCTCTTGCAGCCCTTTGTTCCCAGCTGGAGAAGATTGCAGTCATCAAAACAAAAAGGAACCATTTTCTCTCCTGGGAACAGATCACCAAGTTCCCATAAGGCAAAACAAAATTATGCAATGAGTCAAGACAATGTCCTGGGCATGTGGAGTCTTGCTGCGTGCTCTCAGCACTCACATTCCAGCAGGCAGCTCCGTGCAGGAGAGCAGCACACAATGGTGGAGAGGCTTCACCCAGCACAGCCCAGACTCCCCAGCTGTCCTGCAGGAAAGAGGAATGAATCCCTCCCAGCCTGTCCTGGCAGCCCCTCTGTGCCGGGGCTCTCTGTGACCCAGGGAGAACTCCTGGCCTCACCAGCCAAGATAATTCCAAAGTTAGATCAAATCATTTATAAACATGACTGTGGCTTCCAAATACTTCTGTCCAGTAGCTCTAGAAGAGGAAAATGGGGGCATGGATTTATTGCTGTTTTTCTCCAGGCAGCCCCACAGCTGCTCTGCTGTGGACGAGGCATCTCCGAGTCAGGGGCTGAAGCACTCCCAAAAGGAGGGGTTGAGTTCATGATTGTCTTGCATTCTTCTAGGCACAAGGATAGATAAGAATATCATTAGATAAAAATGCTTTAACTGAAATAGAAGAGTCTTACATTTTCTGGCAACTTCTCTGGCCCTTCCCATCCATCTCCAGGCTTCTGCTGCGTTGTCTCTGTCCTCTCTTTGCTCTTCTTTTCAGTGAAACCAAACCTTGCCTGGATATCCTTACATGTAAAGGTGTAAGGCTGTGTTATACTCCTGCAAACCTCCGTGTGTATATATAAATATAAATAAATAAACAAATAAATATAAATAAATAAATATATATATATATATACAGTACCACTGCCGGGTCACTTGCAGGTGTGAGTAGATTCAGGCCAAATCCCACTCTGACAGTGCAGCATGAATTGCTCTACTGTTCTGCAATATCAAATTCAAATTGCAGCCAGGTTCTTAACCAGTATTCTTACGTGAGAGAGGCTCTTCTTCCCTAACCAACACCAAAAAAGTTCCAAAAAACGAGCAGCTTAAATGCATCTGGGCCTTGCATTTAGGCTAAGAGAACCTATGGTTTCCTATTAATGCTGCTCCAATCCTCTTAATGAAGATATTGGGCTGGCTTGGGCACATTTATAGCTCAGGTCATTCCTTCCCCTGACACAGGCAGTGGCTGGGTTCAGAACAATGGCTCTGTGTGCCAAAAAGCTGCTGAGGAAGAGGAGAGGGCTCTGAGTGTGCTGCACAGGAGCAGCGAGCCCAGGCACGAGCTGCACTTTGTGTCTGTCATCAAAGCCAAAAATGAACGGGGGGAAGGGGTGAGCAGGAGGATTTCCATGGACACAAAGAGGGGAAGGGAATAAGGAGAATATGCTCTACAAATATGGAAATAAGCAATCCCTGCTCTCCTTAGCTGCAAGCTTTAAGAAGGAGATGTGGCAGTAAGAGGAATGTGTGTGTATTAGGTGCCTTCACTAATTGTGTCACAGCCTACGGAGGCATTGAATTCATTTAATCCATCAGCAGCTTTTCCTGTGGCAGTGTTTGTTTTCTCAGGATTCCCTCTCTGTAGCTGCTGTTTCTCCTGTGCCCCATCTCACTGGAGCACTGAGCAGCCCCCACAGGCAGGTAACACAAGCCAGCACTGCAAAGATTCCTGTTCCTTCCCCCATAATCCCTTTTTCCCCTAGAAAACTCTACAGGACAGAGAATGGGGCTGTGTGTTGTGTGTACAGGGAACCTCTGCTCCCAGATTCTTTGACAGGGAGGAATTAATGTGCAGAAAGACCCTGAGCCCCTGGAGTTTGCTTCTAAATAGGGCACAGCTAGAACATCTGAAGGTCTCTGGGGCTCATGGGTGGGAATCTCCTAATGATCTTTAGTTATTTTTATCCGTGCCCAGTGCTCAGTGCTCCGGGGCACAGGAGCCACTCTGAGATCTCCTGGGAGCACACGGAGCTCCAGGAGCTGGGCAGGGGAGCAGGAACAGAAAATAAAGCACAAGAAGGGGAAGGTGACAGGGCAAGACACAGCACTGACATCAGAGGAAGGCAGGAGACAGCAAGAAGGAAAAGAGCAAAGGACTTTGGCAGGGTTTTTCTTCTTTTCCTCCTGTTTTTAATCCTGCTTTCCGGAGGAAAATGGGACAGCAGTTCACCAATGCTGAAGGGGAGCAAGGAGAGATCGATGTTGCAGAGCTGCAGGAGTGGTATAAGAAATTTGTGGTGGAATGTCCCAGCGGGACCCTCTTCATGCACGAGTTCAAGAGGTTCTTCGGGGTCCAGGACAACCAGGAGGCAGCAGAGTATGTGGAGAACATGTTCAGGGCTTTTGACAAGAACGGGGTAAGTGCTGAGAAGGTTTTACAGTCATTTATTGAGATTATTATATACGTAATGAGGGACCAGTGAGAGCAGGAGAAGAGCACAGGCTGGCCTGGATTTATCTCCTCAAATCTCCCCCTAAATTAAGGTCAGAACATCCCCTTAAGGGACTAAGGGTACATTAAAAAGTTGAAACTTAGGCAGTCACACTTTGAAACCCTCAAGCAGCCAAGGCTCCCACATGGCAAAAATTTTTTAATCTGTTGAGGTAGAGGGGAAATTCCTGTGCAGGAAAATCCTACTCAGGCTTGTTCTGTGTTGGAGAAGTGTCAGTATCAGGTACGAGCAGGTGGTTTGTAATAGAATATCAATTTTAGCTTTGCTTTCCAAAAGCAGAGGCGTGCTGAACAATTCGGACATTCTGGCTTTGATTCCCTTCGCTGCATTTGCTATGAGACACCTGGGGAAGGTGGGTTTTGGGTGCAGCCACAGCTCTGCATCCCTGCACTGCTGCACTGCAGCAGGGATGCTGTGGGCTCTCAGCTGCCTTGGCTGGGCAGCACTTGCCAAATGCCTCAGTTACTCTTTTCCTGAGGCTCTTGATCATTCTCCAGCTGCTCTGGGGATGTTTGTTCCTTGTATCAATACAGGAAAAGGGGACTCAGCTTGTTCATCTCTGATCAACTCATCTCCCTTAAGCTCCCTTTGGAAATAGGGTCAAAATCTCATTGCAGTGGCAGCAAAAGTCAGTTTGTGGGAAGGATTTAAAAAGGCCACAGAAGATGTCAGCAGGTCAGGCTTCTCTCAGTATTCCAAGTTGTGAAAAACCAAATTCCTGCAAAAAATGAAAGCTTCAGGTCCCAAAGTCCCTTATGAAAGCTGTGGGGAAAAGGTAGCAGAGCAAACTGTGCATAAAAGTTGAAGTCCCACTCCTCATTTACAGGGTTTTTTTAACAGGACAGGGACTCTTTTCCTGTTTTTAGTGGGGAGGAGCCCAGCCTGGCTGCACAGGGTGTGGCTGTGCCTGCTGAACTGCCACAAACCTCCCTCCAAGTGCCAAACAAGCCCCTGCCCCTGCCCTGTCCTTCTGGCAGCTCCGACCCAGCTTTTCTGGAAGCTGTAAAAACTTTTCCACCCACCTTCTACCCAGCCAAGGGTCACCCAGCTGCTGCTTCTGTGTTGCCACAGGATAACACCATTGATTTTCTGGAATACGTGGCTGCCCTGAATCTGGTTTTGCGGGGCAAGCTGGAGCACAAGCTGAGGTGGACGTTCAAGGTGTACGACAAGGATGGCAACGGCTGCATAGACAAACCCGAGCTGCTGGAAATCGTGGAGGTGAGTGGGCACTGCCCAGCCCCTCCTGTGAGCAGTCCTGCTCTTTGGCAGGCTCGGGGATGCTGGGCACCAGCCGGGCACGGGCAGATGTGCTCTGCACTGAGGGCACAGCAGAAGCTGCTCGTGCCCTGTGAGCCCTCAGGAAGGGCAGTGCCAGGAGCTGCCCCGTGGGCAGCGGGGCTGGGAGGGTGAGCAGCCAGTCACCTGCTGCAGGTGTGAAAGCAGGCCAGCCTGTCTGGGCCACTTCCCATCACGGCTTTGAGGTCAGCCACAAGTGCCCAGAGCTGTGAGGCCACTGCTAATCCTTTCTCTGGGAAGACTTTAGACAAAAGCCTTCGCCCTAAGCACGAAAGGTACCCAGGGGCAGCAGTGCCACGGCAGGAGCAGGTCCAGCCTGGCCCTTTTGGGTGCAGGGGGAGCAGAGAGTGGGTCAGAACGTGAGCTGAGACAGGCTTGGGCTGCAGCCGGGGCACGGCTCCCCAGAGAGGGCAGGGGCAGCCTTTGGGTGCCAGCAAAAAATCCCTCAGGGTCTGGGGTTTGCCCCTCTGGAACTCTCCCTCTGTGCTTTGCAAAGAGCCCAGAGGTGTGAGCAGTGAGAGAGGAGGGCAGGGGGGCAGCAGCTTCACAGGGCAATGAGGTGATTCATGTGCAGCCAGGGCAGGCTGAGGCCAGAGGTCCCAACCCAGAGCTGAGGTGCTCCGGGACAGAACTTCCCAGAAAGGTTAAAGCCTTTGAAAGAGACCTTGACAGCGATGGGATGGCAGCAGGGCTCACTGCTTTTCATCTCGCAGTCCTTGTCCTAACCTGTGAGCCCCTTCCAGTCCATCTACAGGCTGAAGAAGGTGTGCTGGTCGGACGTGGAGGACAGGACCCCGCTGCTGACTCCCGAGGAGGTGGTGGACAGGATATTCCAGCTGGTGGATGAGAATGGGGACGGTGAGTCTGGGTGGCCCAGGTCATTCCTGCCTGCCAGGGCTCCCTTGGCTCTGCTGTGTGTCCCACAAAGGACAGCTGGACTTGGTTCTGCTCCGTTCCACAGGGCCAGCAGACCCTTGGTGGAGCAGGGAGAAATCTTTTCCGTTGTTACTCTGCTGTAGAGCACAGAGCAGTCGCTGCTGGGGCAGTTTTGGTGTCACTCTGACAGCCCCAGCAGGCAGGGGCAGGTCCCGGTGCCAGCACAGAGCTGGGTGAAGGCGCTGCTCCAGCAGACTGGGACCTGCAGGACCTGCCTGGCACAGGTCCTGGAGGGGCCCGGTGAGCCCCTGCAGGGTCCGGAGGGTCCCGTTGGGGTGGGCACCCCTGGGTCCCGTTGGGGTGGTCACAGCCCCTGGCCTGTCTTTCAGCTGCCTGGCCCCAGAGGTGTGGGCACGCCTAAGATGGTCTGATTAGCGTTTTATCTGACACCTGGGTGGAATCCTGCCTCCTCCTCCTCTCTTATCTCCCTCAGTGCCCATCTGTGCCCCCATCTCACCCACAGGGCAGCTGTCTCTTGACGAGTTCATTGATGGAGCCAGGAAGGACAAGTGGGTGATGAAGATGTTGCAAATGGATGTGAACCCCGGGGGATGGATCACTGAGCAGAGGAGAAAGAGTGCTTTGTTCTGAGCGAATTCGGCTCTCACGCAGCTGAAATGGTGATGCTGAGTCCCAAGGGCGGCCCCTCCTCTAGCCTGGTAGCGACTTTCCTTTTTAATTCCATCTCAGCATCCAGATGAAAAACGGCGTGGTTTAAGGAGTCATCTCTGATGTAAAACCCTCGTGCTGAGCTCTGCTGGTACCCGGGGACTATTTCTGGCCCGTGAATAAGTCTTGCTGTGTACACAATTCCGTGTTTGCCAGCTCTGCTTTTTGG